CCGCCCCGGGCCGGAGCGGGAGCGGGCGCCGCGGTGGGGGCCGGGGCATGGACCAGGCCTGGCCGAGCCGGGTGCCCCGGCGGGAGCACCCCGCCGCCCAGTGAGCGCCTGGGCGGCGCGGCCCGGGCCGAGCCAGCCACGCTGAGCCCAAGGAGGACGGGGTCCAGGTACGTCCGGGGGTCCAGCACCCACCGCCAGCTTGCACCCTGCTTCAGTCTGTTTCTGGGGATCGCGCCCACACTACCCCAACCCGGGACTGGGGCCGCGTGCGCGCCAAAGGATGTGGGAAGGCTCACCACTGCTCCGGAGGTGGAATGCACCTGCCCACGGCCAGAGGATGACCGAGCTGGGGCCAGGGTCGGCTCGCCCTGTCCTCAGTTTCTTCTCTATACTCCCCACCCCTTTCCAGGGTTCCCTGAAGGTGGGATGGGTGGGGCTGGAGAAGGCAGGCCACTGGAGCTGGCTGAGCTGGGAGCCTGTTAATGATTAATCTAAGACGCAGTGGCTTGAGCTCCAGGAGAGGAAGGACAGGGATCCCTTTGGCCCTACCAGCCCTCCCCAGAAGGGGGCCCCTCAGAGCAGGAACTGGGGGGCCATGGTAAGGATGGATCCCTCAGCTAGTGCAGGCCCTGACCTGTACCCAACAGGGGCCAAGGCCACTGAGTAGAAGCTCGTGGGGAAAAAGCAGGCCCTGGTATCCAGGAGGGGTCTCAAAGGAAATCTCATGGTTCTCCCATTTCCTGGGCTAATGCCAGGAAGGAGTTCAGCTTGGTCTGCCCTGTGGGTGCCAAGCCAGCACTTAACAGCACAGATCACGACTGGTCCCTTCCCCACTGGGGCCCCACTCCCCAACTGCCAGGGCAGGAAGGTGATGGCATGCATCTGGCTGCTGTAACCCACACCAGGGGAAGGAAGGGAGGGAGAGAGGGTGACAGGTCTGATACCTGATCCTCTGGGTTGCCTTGGTGACTGGTGCCATGGAAATCCTCAGAGGAGAGAGAAGCGTGGAGGATGGTCCAGTCAGGAGAATCCAACCTCCCCCTTTACTGAGGGGGTGACCTGAGGCCAGGGGAGGGGCTTGTCCAGGGCCCCGCAGGAGTACGGAAGGGCTGTGTGGCACGGCACCTCTCTGTGAAGGAGGCATTGCTATTCGCTCCATTATCCAGGTGTACACACAGGCTGAGGGACATTCAGGGAATTTCCAAGGTCATATAGGTGGCTGAGCTGACTCCAAAGCCTAGGAGTCTCATCCTGGCCCCCATCGCGGGATCCCAGCCTGACTTAGGGCCCCTTGCCTCTTTGGGGTCCTAGCCTCTTAGATCTGCCTGGGTTGCCCCCAGCTCAGAACCCACCCCCCCTCGCCTCCCTGGTTCCCAGCTCTGCCTGACACTCGGGGGTGGGGGGAGGCTCCCCCAGGAGCAGAGACAACAGAGCCCTGTTCTCAGCTGCCACCTCAGACGCCTCATTCCCTGCTTCTTGCTCAGGCAGAGCCTGCCTGAAGGAAGCTCCCTGTGGACAAAGAACGCCTGCTTCCTGCACCTCCCCTTCCCTTAATGGGTTAGATGCCCTCTTGTCACCCACTGTGGGAGCGATGTGTCCCCACAGCCCTTCTTACTGGGCTCTGAGAGACCGAGCGTGCTGCTCAGTGCAGAGGCAATGATTGGCCTGCAAGAGTGATGCACACATGGTGGCATTCCGGCCATGGCCGTGGACCTGCAAAGGGCTTCTGGCTTTGCTCTGACCGGTGAGGAATATGGATAACCCCTTTTAGACCCCCATACCACTCAGATGGGGCCTGGCAGGATGGAACAGAGGTGCCATGCCAGGTGAGGGGCAAGGGTGGGAGAAAGTGGGGGCTCTAAAGGACACCTGCTTCTCCACCTGTTCTTCCAGGGCAGAGATAAGGTATGGCTTGGGCACGCCTAGGCTTGGTCCCAGGGGTGCCCTGATTCGCCATGGCATCCCAGGCCAATCCTTCCCTATCGGTGCCTTTGTTCTGTTGGATAGCGATTGGGGCAACTTGTGTCTGGCGCATGGGACATAGGTGCCTTTGAATGGGGAGGTGGCCTTTCAGGAGCCTGCCAGGTGGGACCTGGGAGGATTATTGAAATAATCAGTTGCTAGCACTGAGTGTGTGCCTGGCCTGGCAGGCCTCGTGCCATCTCAACCTCACAGCAAGCCCGTGAACAGTCATAGTCCCTCTGCGTTTTAGGAATTTGAGGCTCAGAAAAGAGAAGTCACTTGCTCAAGGTCACCCAGCTGGGGAGTGCTGGAGTGCGGATTCCTAACTAAGGTATCTCAGGGTCCTGAAGGGGAAAGATGGTTATGTGTATCCAGGGCTTTGTGTATAGCAGGTGTTACTACTTCTTTTTAAGTTTCTTTCTTTCTTCCATGGTCAGAGAGACTCTGTGAAGCAGTCTCAACAGGGTCTCCCAGTGTGATCCACCCCCAGCCTCAGCCGGCCTGGGATCGTGAGCACACACGTGCCCAGTACACTCAGGGAGGTCTCCGGACCTGAACCTAGGACCTTCCCATGTGGGTCAGCCTCACAGAGCTTTGTGTTTTTCCATGGCACCACTAGCCCCCAGTATCTTTTTAAACATCTTTATATTGCTCTCTCTTTTTATCCAAACAAGTACATGACACCCTTTAAAAATATTTCAAGAGTGTTCTAAAATAAAGAGAATGATATTCCCAATTCCTGCATAATGATCCCTGGGAGTCGCAGTAGTTTGGGAGCTATTTGCTGAAACTGTTTGCTGCTTGGTGAAACTATTTGCTGCTCCCCAGTTCAAGCTGCCTTGGGACCACTCAACTCTGCCCTCGGGAAGGGGAGTCATGTTGCCTGGAGGAGGCAGTGCAGCCCGAGGAGCTATGGCCTTGTTGCTAGTTCTGCTTTTGCTGTTTAAGCCGCTCCCCGAGTCCCTGAGTTTGTGTTTTCTCCACTGTCTGTATGCCTAGCAGATGACCCTGGGAGGGTCTGTCATCATGCGGAGCGTGGCTGCCCTTTGATACAGCAGAGACAGATGACCCTGGGATGCTAAAAAGTACTTTCAGACTCACCAAAGAACATTGTCCTCTCTCAGCCGTAAGCCCTGGTCCGAACAGGCATCCATATTTCCAGCCAATGGGTCAGTAGGAGCAAGATGCCAGGGCTGACAGTTTGGGGATGATCCTGTGAGCCAGCAAGCTGGGTCCCAAGAAGCTGAGAGTGAAGAAGCTTCTTGGTCCTTGCGAGTCACTTTCCTAGCACTCCTGGTGGGAGGGCTCACCTCTCCCACTGTGCTACCCACAGTTCCCAACTCTGTCCCAGGCCCTGCTTCCCCTTCCCCGCTTAGGACACTGAGGTCCAGAGAGGCCAATTTGCTGGCCTTGGCCACACAGTGAGGTAGGGCATGCCTCAGCCTAGCTACTCCTACACCCCACTTCCAGCCAAGCTTTTCAAGATGGAAATATCTTTTCCCCCCCAAAGTAATACTGGTGCGTTTCTTTCAAACATTACATATTTCTATGTGTGTGTTTATATTTCATCACAGGCTCCAAATGTATTACAGAAAGTAAGTAGCCCTCATCCCCAGGTAACCATGGGTACTGTAGTACCTATAGGTATTAAGTGAGTATCTTTTCAGACCATCATGCACAGGTACCAACGTACCACTTCCCTCTGTGTGAAAAAGTTCATTCTGTGTACTGTATGTAGCCAGATTTATTATTGGCCAACTCTTTTAAACCTGTCGGAGCCTCAGTTTTCTCATCTGCAAAACTGGGACAAAGACTCTGTGCACATTGGAGAAACTGTAATTAATAGTGCGGTGATCCCCTTGGGTGCCCCTCTTAGATCTCTTGTTAGATGATCTTTGAAAACATGCCCACAGGTAGGGTTGCTGCACCAGAGATTGCACACCTTAGCACTGTGAGAGCTGAACTCCGGGAGGAGAAAATGTGTTGTCCTACTCCTAAAATCTCCTCCTGTGTCCGTGTAGAAATCCCTTCTGGCTACAGAAAATAGCCCCAGCACATCCACACCCCACCACCTTCTCTGCCAGAGCCCTGTTCCTCTCTGTGTAGCTGAGCACATCAGCCAGGGAATGTTCTAGGGAGCAGCAGTGCCACAGAATACGATGCGGCCAATGGCCGCCCCTTCATCCCCTTGCGGGGCTCTGTCCTTTCCTGCTTCTGTAAGTGCAGGCTCCCCCTCCTTCCTCACCCTTTCCCTGGTGACTCCATCTACTCCACATCTCACTTCCAAGCCTGTAGCCCTCAATCTCTCTCCTGGAGACATTCATCTTGTGCCCCCGGCAGGGCTTCCTCCTGCCCTTTAGACATTCTGAAAGGGTCCCACACGTCTTTCAGACTCAGCGTGCCCCACAGAGAGCCTGCTTCACCCACCCTACCCCAACACTAAACCTGGCCGTCTCAGCTTCCCTCTCGCCCGCGCGCGCGCACACACACACACACACACACACACACACACACGGGGACTACCTCTGGCCCCAGCAAGCCCTCACTCCATCAGTGAGGGACTCTTCCCCCCCATTCTCCACACCCAGTCACCCTCCGAATGCTGTCCATGGCCTATGTCCCCAGCCTTCTCCTTGGTCCAGGACATCTCAGGCCTGGACAACCACCATCAAGGTCTGCTTGCCTCTACTCCTGCCCCATCCCACAGGTCAGTTTCCACCCGGCACCCTGATGGGAAGCCCATCTCTCTTTTTTTTTTTTTTTGGAGAGATTTTCACTGTAGGGCACGTGCGCTCGCCAGACAGACAGAGAGAGACATAGAGACAGAAAGCGAGAAATCACCCCCCAGGGGGGATGGTCACGCCGCAATCCCTTCTCCTCCATTCTCCTCTCGGGATCTTGGGCACGCACGCACACGCGCCTGGCGTGAGTTTTAAGCCACCGGGTCCGGGACACGAACCGCGGTCGACTACGTGAGAGTCCAGCGACATAGCCATTATGCTAACTGCTGGTTCTCCGGAAGCCCATCTCTTCACTCATCTGCTGAAATCTCTCAGGCCTCCATGGCTTCCGGTCAGACTTGTCTGCATGCCTCCCGAGGCCCTGCGTGTCCCTCTTGCCCTGCCCTCCCTTGCCCAGGATTTTAGTCTCCCTTGCTCACCAGCGTCTTACATGCACACACACTAGATGCTCTGGCCAGACTCAAAGTCAATTTCTCAATCGCTCTGGGCCTTTGATCACGCTTTTCTCTCTTCCTCACTCATGCCAGGGTAACAGGTATATTGGTTAAGTTAGCTGCTGTCATCACTTCATGATGGAGTTCCAAAAGCTTTATTTAAGACAGTGGGAGTTTAGGTCTCATTTTCTTGAAGTCTAATCAGTATTTGAGGGGCAGTAATGTAGAGTCCCAGGTTCCTCCTAACTCATAGCTCCATCCACTCTCAGAGCTCTGGAAATTGCTCCAGTTCAACCAGCAAATGGAAAAGAAGGCCACAGAGAAGGTCCGCCCACTTAACCTCATTAGCTGTCATTCCG